TGTCTCAAACAATAACAAAAACAGAAAATGAACTATCACCCAGCGATAAGTCGGTAATATACAGTAATTGAGGGAATGAAAAGATTTATTGTATGACTTTATTTTTTCTTCAAATATAGATGTTTGTAAAAAATAGTCTGAGTTTGTAGATATTTGGGGTCTGATTCTCCAGAGGTAACTACAGACAGAACTTGATGTACATTCTTATTTTTCTTTTTGATTGGACTGGGGCTTGAACTCAGGATTTCACACTTGCAAGGCAGGTACTCCACTGCTTGAGCCACTTCTCCAGTCCATTTTTCCCTGGTTATTTTGGAGATGGGGCTCTTATGAACTATTTGCCCAGGCTGGTCTCAAACCGTGATCCTCCCGGATCTCAGCCTTCCAAATAGCTGGGAAACTTGGGGTAATCCAGCTACTGGAGCCACCAGTGCCCACCATGGAAGGTGGGGGCCTGTGGAGAGTGGGGACTGCAGAATTGCCACCAGCCAGGGCTATTCTAAGAGTCCCAGAAAGCCACTGAGCAAGTGGTACTGTGCTAGCCGCCGAGGGGCATCCCCGAGTTGCCATGCTAGCTGACACCCTGCACTTGGAACCATCACACTAGCTCTGGGAGTTGAGCCTCTGGCCCTTAAAACCCCCCGCTATGACACTGAGAGTGAAGCCTTCCTGACCCCGAGCTTGGAGCTGCTGACAGAGAGCTGCAGCTTGCTATTCACAATTTCCACCAAACAGAGCAAAAGAGCCCTTGGCCAGCTGGTGACAGTCCAGCCCATCAGCTGCCTTCTTTCCTCCTGTCCTCATTAAGTCCCTGCTTATTTCCATATGAAAAGGAAAACAGGATTCGAAAGTCAACAAAGAGGAGACAGCTCTGCTAAGGTAATTCCACTACGTAACTCCCAGAGGACACTGTGTGCCCACAGAGGAACAAGAAGGAGGAGGCCTCGCCGGAGCTGCGCTGGTACAGGAGTGGTGGGAATGGCCACATCGAACAGTCCTCGTCAAACGGTCAGTGTTGGAATGAATTCCAAAACAAAGCACACGTGCTTGCACACACGTGTGAATGTAAATGCCATAGCCGAGCTGTCAACCGTGTCTGTGTCTCTCTGCAGGTTTCTACATGAGCTATAGCAACACCAGTAAAACGCCTCCCAAACCCTACTGCTGCCGGCCGAGTCCCCGCTACTATGTAAGAAAGTTTAAAAAATCTTTTCTTTCAGTTAGGAAAACAGATTAGCTAACATGTTGAGTTTTTAATGATGGTTTTCCTTGGTTAAATACCTAGCATGTTTTCCTGAACGTAAATTCGGTGGGAGAGAAACCACGCCGAACTTCGCACTGAATCTTGCCTTAGGAAGCTAGCTTAGGAGGTGGCTGATTTCAACCCACCGAGGGAATTTTTGAGATTTGTTATCGTTTGAAACGATGCTATAATCGTTCCTATAGTGACCTGATTTCTTCTTTAAGTCTGTCCTCACCGTACAGAGGGGGGAATGCAAGAGTTACGTGCAGCTGAATGCAGACATACTATTAAAATCTTTCAAAGCGAGTCTCTCTTTTGTAACACTGTTAATAAGATGTTACTGTGTAGCATGTATTTCAGGACACTGCTGTAGACATTTTTTTTTTTAAGACTGAATATCAGGCCAGTTTTTTCCCTAATAGTCCCTCTCCTAAGCTACCACTTCAGTGAATGTGGTATTGACAAATCTTTCAATACCACTTCCTGCACAACTGCTTGCAAATTGTTTTTACAGTGTAGAATTAAACAGAAAGCCTCACCCATAGGTGTCGCACTGTTCCCTTCAATAAACGCATGAAGAGCCGCTGGGAAGTAAATTTTCTTCCTGAATTGCAGAATTTTTAATAGACTGGGTTCCAGGGCTCCTACAACACAGAGCTGGAAACCGACACCTACTCACTGATTTTCCAGTTTACTTATTTTCCAAATGCATTGTTGCTCATGATCTATGGCCATAGTTGACTAGGGAAGGAGGTGACACACAAGGGACACAGAAAAAACCTGAGCATACCAAAGAAGTCAGAAGGGGTGTACTAAGGACAGTGCGTGTCCTTAAAAAGAAGTCATTCGTGGCTGGGCATGATGGCACAAGCCTGTAATCTCAGCCACTGGAAGGTGGAGTCAGAGGATGGTGGTTTGAAAGCCAACAGGACAAAGGTCAGCAAGACCCAAGTCAAAAACAAGCCAGACGTGGTGGTACACACCTGTATTCCCAACTTCTAATGGTGGCAGGAGCCGGGTGCCAGTGGCTCACACCTGTAATCCTAGCTACTCAGGAGGCAGAGATCAGGAGGATCATGGTTCAAAGCCAGCCCAGACAAATAGGTCACAAAAAATTGGGCTGGCGGAGTGGCTCAAGGTGAAGGCCCTGAGTTCAAGCCCCAGTACCACAAAAAAAAAAAAAAAAAAAAAAAAAAAAAAGGGTGGTGGGAGCCCTGCCCTGCACAGAAATTCGAGATCCTCTCTGAAAAACACTGCAAGTTAAGCTGGTGGAAGGCCCTGTGTTCAAGCCCCAGTACTGAAAAAAGAAAAAAACAGACATTAAGGCACAAATATGTCCTGCTCCCTTATAATAGGAGAATGGGACCTTGCTGAGTAATCGCCTTCCCTCTTCCCTAGCAGTGAGAGCTGAACATCAGGAAGAGCTGCAGGATTTTACCTCTCTATACAGACAGAATGGATTCCATAGCTCTAAATTCCTGTCAGAGGATTTTAAAACTCCAGTAAATTTAGCACAGAGAGCTATCAAAATAGTGCTCAAGACATTACATAACCTAGATAGACCTATAATACCTTAAATCCAAAAGGATCTTACTCTTCAACTATTTCTTCAGCAAGGCACACATTTAAAACCTACAGGCTTTGCTTCTCTTTGCGACTTTAAGTTGTATTTAGTTCCAGTAACAAAATCGTTTTTTAAGAAGAGTTTCGACAGTGGCAGAATTATCAAGTCGAAGCGCCTTCCAGATGCAAGTTCATAAGTGATAAGAATTTCATGAGCATTTAGAGCAGAAAATAGCAGTAAGAATTTCGCTAGCCTTCTGAGAATGGCAAACACATGAATCAAGTGGGAAATTTGTGCATGGGTCTCCTGTATGCAACGAGCAAGAGGAAGCTCCAGAATAAGAGCGTTCCCCATTCCAACTATCCCTCCTCTAGTTTGTCCTGCTATGAATCGATACATTTATTTCATATTGAAATCACAGAACAAAGATGTCAAAAGAGCAACAGTTTTAGAAAAAACTTGCAGTGGGCTGCCTTCCCTTATCAACTCACTAAATAAAACTCCAGCATGCATGTGACTTTTTAAAAAGGCGTAGCAGTGTGAGGAGAAACTCATCTCACGGACACCTTCAATTTGCCAATCCACGTGCCATTTGCAAAGTCTGTGCTGTGAGCGGCCAAGACAGAACAGCCGTTCATGATGTCCATGCTAAAAACTGCACACAAGTCACCTGGCAGCTTTCATCTGGTCATCTTCATTTCAAAGTACCCTGATCATCTGTGACTCGCATTCAGGGAATATGCTTCATTGCAGCATGAAGACACTGAACGCAGGATTTTGTCGGCCAGATTGCCTCTCTTTCTTAGCAAAAGTGCTCAGGACACAAATGTCAGTATACGAACAGCCTAAGGCCTGTAAACAATGAGTATCTACCCAGCATTACACAGTCTCTTGAAATTTTTAAGAAAATGACAAAGGGCATGCCACTAAAAAGAGCCTACTGTTTCCAAAAATAAAGCAATTACAGGGAACTTTTGATATCTACGTGCTTATTTACACATTAAAGGAAGGACAGTTTCAAAACATACATCAGATTTGTGACGCACAGGTAACAGGAGAGGTGTTTTGATACATGATTCTTGCAGAAATGACATCAGGTCAACTCTGACTCACTAGCTCTCTTCGTGTGAATCAATAAAAGCGAAAACAGAACATGTACACATTCATATGGGTTTTAAAATCCTCCAAATAATCACTAATAACCACTTATATAAGGATTTTTAGAAACTCTGAACAAGGAAAGAGAAGCCAGAGGTCACCCATGAGTTTCAAAGGGAAAAAACAGAATTGTATTACCTTGTCTTACACAGAATTCTAGTTTGTTTCTGATATTCACAAATCTCTATCCTGAGCTGGTTGGTGTACCTAGGTGGGAAAACTGTGATCATGGAGAAACCTAACAGACGTGCAGGGTGCAAAGTCAATACAAACATGTGTGTTACAGAGTTGATAGTTTGGTTTACAAATGCATATGTATAAAGTGACCAGTTTACAATTGATATGATTTGAGGTTGCTAGCTGACAAATGTATGATATGACATTGCAAACAGACAAGCGTATATGACACAAAGTGGCTAGTTTATAAATGCCTATGTAGAAGATTGATTTTAGAAGTAGAGTTTAAATGACTTCGTGCCTGAGATTCGTGACAAGCATCCTCTGCTGACCCCGGGTCTTCAGCAGGTGCAGCAGAGAGCACTGTAGCCCCATCTGCTGTGGAGGCTGAGGCAGGAGGACGGCTTGAGCCCACAAACTTGGGGCCAGCCCTGGCAACATAGCAAGACTTGGCCTCGTGGGAAAAAACCCACAAAACTCAGACGTGGAATTCCGATAAAGTCTCCAAGCAAGATTCCCCCATGAATCAAGATCAAGCCTACATAAAAGTAATTATGAATTAACATGGAATTAGACAGAAATCTTTTAGCTAGATATCAGAAGTCTGTGCAGATCCTGGTTTTCAAATGACAAATGCGTCTAGAAAGATACGATCCCAAAGTTTTTAAGTGGGTCACCTGCCGGTCTCAGGGCATTTGTATAAGCAGAAGCCCATGTAAGGGTGGCATTTTAGGTAACAAAACAAGATAGTGCATCAGGTTAGTGACCCCCGAGGGCATGTGAAGATGGTCTTTATAAACTGAGACTGGTGTGTTTAGGCTCACCGTCACTAAGTCCCTGCTGTGACCCGGCACTCACCATTACAAAGTAGTATGCATACAGTGCTGCACAGTGGTGGACCACGAAGAACTTGTCGCCAATCACACTCCAGTTAAAAAGGATGATCACCAGATCTGTAGGAAGGAGAACAAGACATCACACAGGCAGATGTCTGCATGGGGTCATAGGGGCACTCAGCCTGTCCTCTCGTCAGCTCCTCGATGTCTGCCACCTACCCATTGCCCACCCTCCCAGACCACCTGCTCCGAGTGCCAGTGCTGCCCACTCCACCAGGACCCACCAGGACCCACCAGGACAGCGCCCGGCTGTGGGCATCTTTCCTCCCTCAGAACCTAGCGCAGGCCCCGACCTACAGAATAACACATTTGCTGAAAGTATAAACGAATAATGTTCCCAGGGTTAAATAGAATAAAATATAGCCAATAAAAATAAGCTTAAGTGATCATTTTGCCACTGCAAAGATGCAGACAGACTAGGATAGTGGCAGAAAAGGTACCACATGACTAACTCACTGATAACACAAAGCCCACAAAAACATTTAACTAACAAAGAATGCAATTAAATATACATTCAAAACAGTAAAAGCAGGACGAACTATGACTGGTAAGAAACATGAACAAAGAAGGCAAGCACTGATTTCCCTCCAAAAGATTCTGAGCCTAGATACCACGACATGGCTTAGTTTAACCAAAGAGAAGCTGCTCGAGGGTGAGCACGACCATGTTCGTTACCAAACAGTTCAGCATGGAATGCAGACATGAAAGCAAGTGGCCTTTGGGGAGGGAGACCAGGTCACGATTCAGGTTTTACAGAATGTAGGGACCTTCTGTTTACAAAACAAAAATTGCTAATACAGAACCAGACGTGAATATTTAGAAAGCAGCAGCTCACAGCCATCAAATGTCTGATGCCCTTGCTAAGCACACCCATTTTTCTTACACATTTTGGCTGTAGTCTACTCTTTCGTCACCACTTTATACGGAAACAACTCTAACGTATTCTATAGGAAGAATAAAATGAACTCACTTTTCATTCAGTTTGGTTCAGAAAAGTTTGTTGCAGCTCACTACTCTTGTTTGTAAGGTTTTTTTTTTTTGGATTCTTATCTTATTTGGGGAAAAGTTAATCAAATGTCTTGCATACAAGACTTCATTGAAAGTGACTTCTCTGACTGGACAACAGTCAAAATAACCAGCATGGTGGCATATTATGAGATTCATGTGACCCTCAGTGACACCACTTTGTGTCAAATGAGCAAATCTTTTTCCTCATGTGTTCACAAGATTCACTTATAATTGGGCTACAAATAATCCAGTGGTCTATCCATTATTTCTCTTCAAAATGAGTCTCTTCCTCCTAATGAATTACTTGTTCTGATATCATCTAATTACCTTTGCTACAATTCACATCTTGGTGGCACAAATTTTTCTGCTGAGTTTGTCACTTGTCTTTATCATTTTTCTTTCATATACCATTTTTATTTGGATTTTCTTTCCATTACTTAATAAGTTGAAAAATTACAAAATAAGGATCCTATATAAATACCCAAATCATGATTCTGTTGTTTCTCTTGTTTAATAGGATCTAAAATGATTTCAAATTGCAGCTAAAATGGCACATTCTCAACTTTGTTGGCCTCTGGATGATTTTGAAAAATGCTGCTCCAACCCCACCCAAGATGAAAGAAAATACAGCAGAAGAGAATACGGAGTGCAAAGAGTCCTTGACCTTGACTGACTAAGGTTAAAATGGTTCTGTGTGCACACTGTAAAATAGCAATAAAAAACCATGACTATTGGGTCACATCTCAGGGGCCCAGCAGTGGACCTGAGACTTAATTAAACTTGACTAATTACAGAAATTATGGCAGGGAAACTCGCTGGGGGGAAGACAGACCACTCTGCAGTGAGAACCGACAGTCAAGAAAAATGCTTCATGTTCTGCCACCATCCTCCTCTGTACAGATCCTCAAAGCTGTTTCTCTGACAAGTCACCGCAGACTGTGGGGACTTTGTTTAATCCCAGCAGCAGCTCAGAAAGAAACAGCGAGGAATCACCTACCAGAGATGAGGTAGCCGGAAGCAATGGCGATATTCACAGTCACAAGTGACGGGTCACCCCTGCAGTATTTAGAACAAAACAGAGTTCTTTATTTAAGCATGCAGGTTATAGACAACTGCTACTTTTTCTCTCGAGAGTTAAAAGAACAAAATGCTTTCTTTGCATTCCCAGTGGATGCCACCATTTGCAAATACAAATGACAAAGTTCAGCTGAGCTGTGATGCAGCCTGTGGAGCCAGCACTAGCAGATGTACGCTGTCCCTGGGGTGACATGAGCCCAGGTGCCGAGATAAAATTTAGTAGTGTCCTGTCCAAGGCAAAGTGAGCTAATCGCTTATCAGGAGACCTGGGGCCCATCCTCACCATGAGTTTACTGTAGGCCCAAGGCAGCCTCCAAAATCTCCCTGAGGATACATCAGCTCTTGGATTTCACACCAGGCTGGAATTCTCTAAAACCACTTAAAGCCAAGCTACACTGAGTCCCCAATATTAAAAACAGGGCTTCTGACAGTGGCTACAAGTATCCAGTGCATTTGCAGAACCAAGCCCTTTGGGACTATTCTCAGAAACTCCAAGATCAATGGCACAGCAGGGTGGTTTTGTTTTACACTGGGCAACCACCACCCAGACCATCGGTGGCATTTCCAGTGGACCTGGAGGATGACTGCAGGGTCACTGAGTTGACTTAAGCAAGGACAGTCTCGTTGTCAGCTCTGGATCCATTCTACACCTGTCAGTGTATGGTAAACTGGGTGAGATAAGAGGGCACTTCTCACTGCACGAATGACCGTCCTTCTTACACACACACACAGACACACACACCCCCACACATACACGCAAGGAAGGCGCTAAAACTTGGCCAAAATAATCTGACAAAAGATTTATAAGCATAGAATTTATTTCCAAAAACACTCACAGACTCCTACACGCTGAATTTTTAGTCCTTATTCTGAATCAGGACTCCCCCTTGGGGCAGGCAGAGTGGCTCAAGTGGTAGAGCACCTGCCTAGCAAGTGTGAGGCCCTGAGTTCAAACCCCAGTGGCCAAAACCTTAATAAAATAAAAAGGAAATCACCTTTGACTTTGAGGCAATGTAGTGTCACCATCGTCATTCTACCAATGACCACAGGGACCTGCCTGTCATCCCCCAGTTAGGGAATGGTCAGGTGGACGATTTAACCATGCTGTTTACATTCCTACATGTTATCAAGATGGCACACTTCTGCCCTACTCGGTCCTTTATTCGGTTTACAATTTGAACTACTAGTAAAATTAAGACAAAACTGAGAACAGCTAAACCACAAATGGAAATTTGTAACACAAATCACATTTTCTTTATAAGTTTTGCTCTGCAAATGTGACCCAGGAAATTTAGATCTGGAATAAAGCACAGACGAAAGAAACAAATGTCAAAAGTAATGTGAGGTTGACGTTTGCAAAGGCACAAATCTTTGTTATCAAATTTACTCCCCCAAAGAACCGGCTCTGCTACAATCCTGATCTGGGGTTGGCTCTGGTCTAGAGCACCTGCCTTGCAAACTCTAAGCCACGAGTTCGATTCCCAGTACCACCAAAAAAAAAAAAAAACTATAGTTAAACATGAAAAAAAATTTAAAGCTAGGAATTAATTAGGTAGATGACAGAAAAATCTGGTCAATGAACTAAATTTGCTAAAATGATTCACTTTGAATAATATCTTCCCCATGAAAACTTATCAGTTGTATAATACTGATGGGAATATCATACTTATGAAAAAATCCTGTGGTCAAATCGTGGGGTAAAACCTGGTTAAACTGTTCCCAAACCCCATGCACCCCACAACAGTGCCACCACTACCTCAACCTTCTTGTGTCATGCCAGGAAACACAGCTTGCAGAACTTCTGCTGTTTAAAAATTAAAAAAAAAAAACAAACCTATCTTATACCTTAGCTTATACTTGCCAAAGTATAAATAATTATTAGTGGTTCTCATGTGGCACCAGTTCCTCTCACCTGGCCATCTGTAATTCTCATTTCATTTCTTCCAGCTCAAACAATGGGTCAAACACAGATTTGAAGACAAAGACTAAGTAAATCTTATCCTGGCTGGCTGGCCTAGCTCAAAATGACTTAGATTTGCTGTGGTTACAGGAACTCCATCTTACTCACACGGGGCAAATGCTTACCTGATCACTGTAGGCTCCTTGCTCTGGATGACAATTGTGACACTGACGCAAAATGGTCCCCAGCACTTTTATGTCCATCTAAATTCATTTTAATGTACTTTGCTAAGGTAAGTCTGAATACAAGCTTTTTAATAAAGCATTCCCCATCACTGTGTTTTCTGTTTTAAAATAATTGACACCCTTATTAATAATTAACAGCAAAGTATAAATGAAAAGCAGCTTGGAAGGAGCGTGCTTACCAAAGAGGGTCAGCAATAGTCGGCTCGTCAAAGAAGAACAGGTACAGGCCAAAGGTGCCCACCACCAAAGAGTGACAGGTAGACACGACCCTGAAATGGAAGAAGATCCAGACAGCAATTTCAGATTCCATGAGAAATTGTAACTTGTTCATGTGGACAGTTAACATTCTCAAAGAGTTGACACCTCAAGGCAAAGCCTTCCAATTCCAGTGCAGGGCCCAACTCAGAGAAGGACACACAGTTGCCATTTAGAGATCCGAGGCCATAGTGTGACTCTGGGAGGAATACAGCCAGAAGAGCTCCCAGGTCTGGGATTTCACACTAGAAAATGGGGAATCACGTCTCAGCTACAAGTTCCGAGCAGAGCAGACAGGATGATGTGGTCAGATCTTCTGCACACTGATGATGGGAACACGCACTGCCCCGTCCCCGCCCCACCCTGTCCCCATAACAACGCATCACTGCAGGACCAGTTCCCTGCTCCAGTCAGGGGGTGATGTCCAAATCTGCTGGTGTCAACCATATTCTTCTTTTCTTTTGGCGGCGTCAGCTACTCAGGGCTTTGCGTGTGCTAGGCAGCTCCAGCTGTCTTTGCTTTAGGCTATTTTTCAGATAGTGTCTCATTTTTTGCCTAGGCTGCCTTGGACTGTGATCACCCCATTTTATGCTTCCTGCCAGAGCTGGGATGACAGGGATGCACCACCACGCCCAGATTTTACCCACTGAATTGGGAGTCTGGCAAACTTTTTTGTCCGGGCTGGCCTGGAATGGCAATCTTCAGAAACTCAGCCTCTCAAGTAGCTAGGATACAAGTGTGAGCCACCAGTCCCTGGCTAAGAAATCCATTTTTAAAGTAGATACTCAGCCAGGCGTTGGTGGCTCACGCCTGTAAATCCCAGCTACTCAGGAGGCGGAGATCAGGAGGATCACTGTTCAAAGCCAGCCTAGGCAAACAGTTTGCAAGACCTTATCTCAAAAAAAAAAAAAAAGAAAAAAAAAGAAAGATGGAGTAACTCAAAGTGTAGGTCCTGAGTTCAAACCCCAGCACCACAAAATAAATAAATTAATTAACATTCAAGCGAAAGCAAAATGTTTACAAGACCCAGGTTGTTTTCTTTTATGAAAGGAAAAAGGCTTCAATGAAAAATATGTTTCTATGAATATATCATGCTAGTAATTCAATGATTCAGTGATTCAATGATTCAACCAACACCCAAGCTTTATGATGCACTACTTAAAGCATGTAGTCAGGCACCATGTAATCCTAGCTACTTGGGAGGCTGAGATGGGGAGGATCGCAGTTTGAGGCCAGCCTGGGCAAATAGTTTGAGAGACCCCATTGCCAATATAAACAGAGCAAAATGGACTGGAGGTGTGGTTGCAGGTGAGAAGCCCTGAGTTCAATCCCCCCCCCAAAAAAGACCTACATAGGATTCTATGTAATTATCCATACAATGAAGTTTTGTTCTAAACAATTTCAGATCACTCACATCTTTACTAAAGTTTGCAAGTTTGAAGTTTCTCTTCACTGGGATAAAACATGAAAGAAGGAACTAGGAATTACTCATATGCAAAAGATTTCTACAATAGGACCCCAAATCTGCAAAAATAAAAGAAATGTATCAACCAATATAGAATTGATATTAGAAATCTTCCTTGCCTTTGAAAATTAAGTATACACATGTAATAGATGGCACTTTCCTAAAAAAAGGTAGACTATGTCACACCAAGTCATACTTAAATTCACAGAGATCTCAATAATTTAACCATCCATCCACAAAGAGTCCTTTGTAACAGCAGAGGGTTGTTCTTGAAGTGTTAATAATTAACCCAATTTATCTGGTTTGCAAGTCTGGAAGGGTCTTGGAGGCACACCTGAACTCCATTTGAGACAGCAGATCAAAATGTATATTTATCGATATAAAAACAAACCCACTCCATCTAAATAATCACACAGGTGGCTTTCTGTGACTACTCAAAATTCCACGAACAAAAATGACACAGTGTTACTTACCAATCTGACAGTGTTCACTAATTTTAAAAGCTTGCTTTCTGAAACAACCCACCTTTTTCTTTTCTTTCTGACACTTGGGTTTCAGGGCCCTTCCCTGTGGAGAGGTCAAGGTGACAGGAAGGCACAGCAGCCTTCAGTAATGAACGCGGCAGGGAACTAACCCATCTCAGGAAAGCTAAGCACCCTGTGAGGAGATGTTGCCTGCTGCATTCGTAACTCCAGTTCCCTTGCAGAACAAGATGCAGACTCCTAGCATCTAAGAATAAACACCCAAATAAAATACTTGGGTTGTTTTCGAAAAGAGTTAAAAAGAAATGTCTGTGCTTAGAAAGAGGCAGCACTTTTTTAAGGAGTGACCGACCTCATTAGAACAGCAAGTTCAAGTTATCGCCAATCACTGGCAGGAGTATTTCCAATCAATACACAGCTAGCCAGCAAGAGTTAAGTTCTGGAGAGACAACTTTTAAAATTAGGAATGTTTGCACACAATAGGACTTCCTAGGCTGTGTGTAAGCAGCTGGTGATAAATAACTTCATGTTTTTAAATTATAGGATGTTGGTAATACTTGTAAGTATGTATGTTTTCAGGAAAGCAACAAGTATAAGCGTTTCCCATTTAAAATGATAATCTTGTGTGTTCCCCTGCCGTTTCCCTCGACCTGGCTTCCAGACACCTGCCCCCGGACTGTGAAGAATGGTGTAGGCGTCATGACTGGAGGCTGAATTTTAAAACATAAACTTATATTTGGCTAGGAAAAAGAGCTATTTTCTCCTTCCTTGCCCTCTCTTCCTCCCAGATTAAGTTCCACATAAACACCCTGGCAGAGAAAGCAGGAATAAATTAGAGGAGATGTCACCATTTCACCCTCACCGTTGCTTCCAGCTCACTCTCCTCTCCCTATTTCTTTGGCTTGCATTACCCAAGACTCAAATGCCTTTCTTTACCCATTCTAACCATGGGACACAGGGGATGAAAGTCATTCAAGGGCAGGCAGAGTGGCTCAAGTGGTGAAGCACCTGCCTAGCAAGTGTGAGGCCCTGAGTTCAAACCCCAGTACCGCCAAAATAAAGACAGGGGTTTAAAACCTAACCAGAGACTCTCCCTCCCTCCCCTGCTCTTTGCCACCATTCCGCCTATTTTTAGAAAAGGATGTTTTGAAAGTAATGGTGTCTCTAATGAGGCACATTTGAACAATATTCACGTACTAATGAGAGGACAAAAGAATCACACGCCTTATTTTTTTGGAAACGTGGAGAAAAAAGATTTTTTGCTCTTTAGATGAAAAGAACTGCAGAACTTAAGAATCAGACCTATCAGTGTGAGGTGCAAACAAAATAATAAGTTCATTATTCACAGTCTGAGTCATAAAAGTGAATGCCTGCAAAGCCAGCTCTGCTCAAAAAATAAAGAGGGGAATTCAGGTCAAATAGGACCGTTCTCCAATAAAACCTGAGACCCTGTCAGGAAGGTCCCGCATCTTCAAGGGGGATTTCAGCGCAGAATAACTGCAGCCACTTGAGAGACGCTTGCTGTACTTCACGGTTATCACCAACATCAAGGAGACAACAGGAGCAGGTGGCCCGAGGAGGCACTGGGGTTTGTCACCTTGCCAGATGAATGCCTGGCACATGAGAGCTCGCAACCAACTCATGAAAACTCCAGATGTCTTCGCCCGTAGACAAACCCTTTTCCCAATTATTTCATTAAAAAATCTAAAAGGTAGTTTTTTTAAACTTTAGAATTATATAATAAAACGGACTGGGGAGTGGCTCAGAGCACCTGCCTGGCAAGCATGAGGCCCTGGGTTCAATCCCCAGTACAGCCAAAAAGAAAAGAAAAAAAAAAAAAGAATTACAAAATAAAGACAAATTCTGGAGGCGTCCAAAGTGTAATGAAAAGTTCCTGAAGGATGTGCGCATATGGGATATGCACTGTGCAGCGTTCTGTGTGTAAGCTACGCACGACTCCAGCAAGTTCCTTTCCTTGTCATTGTCAAAGAATACATTTGTTATTATTATAACTATTTCACAAATGGATGAAAAATAGTCCAAAGAGTCACTGCAGTCACTAGACTGGAGTCAGCTGCAGTCTACTCAATCTTCCCAACTTCATCAGAAACTTGAATAAAACTTCCCTAACTTTTTTTGTTGGCGGTACTGGGGTTTGAACTCAGGACCTTATGCTTGCTACACAGGTGCTCTACCACTTGAGCCACATGCCCTTTTTTTTTTTTTAGTTATTTCTCAGGTTTTTGCCCAAGGCCAGCCTCAGACCACAATCCTCCTGCCCATCCCTCTGGTGTAGCTGGGATTACAGATGCTCACCACCACACCCAGCTCTCCTAACACCTTTTGATATTAAGAATTCTTAAACTTTTCTCGTATGAGATCTATCTACTTGTCTTCTCTTTTATTCTTAAGGTCAAAAAAATAGTTTATCTTGAATTTGTGAGGCCCTAAATGAAACACTTTTTTTGAAATACTTTAAATAATTTCATTTCATAAAAGTAGTTTTTAAAGTTGGTTACATTTTTTGGGTTTTTTTTTACCTTGAGTTCCATTCAATCTGCTTTTCAGCGCTGAGATGAGTAAAGCCTGAAGAAACCTTTGCTGAAAACCAATGGCTTACAAAATAGAAGAGGAACTGGAAGGTGAGGAAGCTGATGCACAGGGTGTTGAAGGTGGTGGTGTCCATAGCTCTTCAGCCTGTAAGGGAGAGGTGCCCATTAATTGCTGCTTCATTACAAACCTGATTTCTCAGGGCCTTTCCTGTGAGCCATTCCACCAGCCCTAGTTTTGTGACAGTTTTTGTCAAGATGGTGTCTCGCAAACTATTTACCCACGCTGGCTTCGAACCTTGATCGTCCTGATCTCTCCCTCCTGGGTAGTTGGGATTATAGGCGTGGGCCACCAGTTCCCAGTCTGGATTAATTTTTAAAAGACTAGGCACTTCTACTTTTAGTAATTTTTAAATTTAGCACAAATGTAAGAACATAAAGAAAAGCATGTATGCTCCTTCACCTCTTCCATCTATGTCATGTGTCTTATATTTGGATGTAAAGGGGAAAACCTCTTCTTTTAAAGATCTCAGTTTTATAGATTTCAGAAGACATTTTCACATCATGATATTCAAAATAATCTAAGTCCTAAAGCTAAACAGTAACAAGAAACTTCCAGTACTATAACTGAAAGCTATAGTACTACAGTTTTTCTTTCTTCTCCTTTTTTATTACATTAATGTTGTGCTGGGGGTGCACTGTGACATTTACGAAGTGTTCACAATATATCATAGTTAAATTCATTCTTTTAATAACATTACTTTAACTATATTTAAGATAAATGGCCTTATTTCTCCACTATTTGGTATCTATGCATTTGAGAGGGTTAGTTGGGTAATTTCTAAGAACCATTTAAGCCAGAAGTTCTAGAAGATTGCTTGCAAAACAAAAACCAATTGCATAACAAGAACTAAAGGCACAGTGAGATGAACATTTAACACAGAATAAAGTCAGGACAAAAGACGGTCTTAGAAAGGAACAACTCCACTGTCACTAAACTAGTAGGTTGGGTTTTTTTTGTTTGTTTTTACTAAAAAGTCTCCATGGCTTTTTACCTCTTTTTGGAACTTTTTTAAATAAAAGAGCACCAGATTTGAGAGAGAGTTAGCAGATTAGTCGTGCACAAATTTACCCAACTCCAAGCGCACTTTCTATTCCACTAGCTGAACCTTATTTGGGTGCCAGCAATCCTAGGCACATTCAGACTCGAAAGCATGTGTTCACACCCAGTGAATGAAGCATTTCCACACTGTGCCTCTGACAGGTGACCCACAGATGAAAAGGACACAAATCAATACATTTCCAGCTGCCTAATGGGAAGAAAGTAATTTGCCCACTGAAGTCAATTCACAGAGAAACACCAAGTCACTGACTGCACCAGTGACAACCCTACTTCATTCCCTCCAACAGGGACAGCCTTATAAGAGCCGGCTCCCCACACAGGCCCTTCCCACAGATCCTGCGTCTGTAATGAATCCTTTTCTCATTTTTTTTGCTTTTGGTGTGTGGTTGGTGAAATTATTGATATTACAATTCTTCTCTGTGAGACTCCACTAACTTCTTTGCTCATTTGCCCTTTTTAAGTTCAAACATGTGTTTATTGGGTATGAAAAAAATTCAACTTGTGGCCTTTTAGCCTAGGTTTGCAATTAACGAAATAATACATAAGAGTAAGCTTTGTATATAAATTAAATTAAACATCAGTGTAACCTGCTAGGTGAGACGTGAAGGGGAAAATGTTTTTCTAAGATTGACGCTGATGGGACTCGAGGCCAGTTGGATAGAGAACTGAAGAAACTGGAGTCAGTACTGGGAAGAGCAAAGCCTGGTCTTCTGTGTGGACAGCAGGCCCTGATGACTTGGGGGCTCCATGCTGGCCTCGGAGCAAGGGTGCACGGGCGACCGTGAACCTGTGTTAAAATTCAGCATGAGCACTTCACAAACATCTTCCTCCAAAGTCGTCCTAAGACTTATTTTTATCATGCATCATTATCCAGCTTATGAATTCTTAATACACTGAAAAGCCCTCCAACTGTTCACCATGAAGAACTGTGTTATCCATCCAGCCTGATTTGTATTAAATCTCTGCTATTCTACATAGATCGCTTATACTTTCAAAACACTTATTTCAGTGAAGTCTCTGGGGCATATGCTGAAGTCTCCATTTGCAAAAAATGTTTTATTTAAAATTAAATGACGAGCACCATATCTCTGAGTTGCGGTTCTACTGAATGCTGGACAGACAGAAGCTATTCAAACTGTCCTCCTTTTAGCTTTGCTTCTTAATAAGCAAGGAGTAATGTAGAGATCTGGTGTAAAAATCCCCAGAAAACCAAGAATCTTGGTAGGGAGTGGTTGCCCAAATTCATTCAGGCAAGAAAATGGTAAAAATGGATAAAACCAAGCCATGCCCCTGCCTAACGCAGGTAAAGGGCTCTGGGCTTGGTGACATCTGGTGGAGGAAAAGACAGGAAGGGAGAAGCATTAGCCCTAGGTCACACACCTCTGTGGCTAGCAGCTGGGGAAGTTATAAGAGTGTCAAGGAATGGTCAGTCCACCTTGGTTAGCAGGAATTGTGGACACCAGAGAAACTTGCAGAGATCGGCTGGATAGAATGATGCTTGCCTTTCATCAAAGCTGTTTCTCAGCAGCGAATCACGTGAAATTTGAGGTACACATCTCCACCCTCTGCTCTGAAGAGGGCTTCAGAGCAGCCAGCACCGAGGCTGTCGTCACTAACAGTGAACAGTTCACTCAACATCTGTCACCAGTCTGCCACATACCAGGCTCTCTGCTGGTGTCTGGGATACTATGTGAGGGACACTCTTATAAGGCAGGAAGGGAGCAAAGAAACCCACAGGCTGCTAAGGAGACACTCCCTGCTCTCTAGGGAGTCAGTGGCCAGCAGAGATGCACATGGATGGTGAGGAGGTGTCCACTGACACCAAGGTGAACATAGAGGATGCCTTCCTTCTACTGACACCCCAACAAGCTGCTTTCAGCTGAGGCCCAAAGGACTCAGTTCCACTAAGTTTAGAGCTGACTCCCAGCTCAACCATGAGTATAACTCCTGTTCCGCCTGTGGTGACTCCTTTGCAAGCACAGGGATCCTCAGAGAACCACCAATGCCATCTCCCCCCCAACACCCACACACACACACAACTCTACTCCCAGGCCAGAACCACTGCCATGGAGCTTAGCACCCAGAGGTGGGGAGGAGGCAGTCTGTGTGTTTTTAAGGCAGCAGGGAAGAGAGAATTCTCGGCTGTGAATAACGCCTCACTCATGCTTGGCCTTCCTTCTTCCACCCCAGCAAGCCTTTCTTGTTTCCCATATTGATTCCAGGTCTATGCTCCCCAGCTCTCCCTCATATGGTTTCTTCCCACCTCATTGAGAAAATGAAGGCTGCCATCATGAGCCCTCCTCCTTCATGGCAACCTTTCTACCTCCACCTCCACTCCAAAACTCATCCCTGCACGCTACAGGCTGTGCCTGGCTCCATGTCCCACTCTGTCAACGCTGCTTATGTTAGGTGCAATTAAGGTGAGCCTGCCACCTCCCGGGGCACCACTGTGGCCTGTCAGCTGGCCTCTGGATGGCTGCACATGGGCACCTGGCAGCCCCTCAGGCTCTATCTGGCCCAAGATTAACTCCCAAAACTTGCTTCCTCCACAGCTCATTCCACAGCCCAGGGGATGGCACTGCCACACGTTTCCCACCCAACCTAGAGCTGCTCAGCCAGCCTTGCTGCCTTTCTGTCCCTCACCTCCACAGATGACTGAGTGGCAAATTCTGGCAGACTGGAGAATGTCAAACAGACAACATATTCTAGCGACGATTAGAACATTTCTCAGGATGGCCTTTTGGATGATACAAAGTAACACGGCTAGATAACTAAATCAGGGGAACCTGCAGCCAGCTGAAAAGTTAGAAGCTGTGCATAGATCCAGGATCTCAAGTCGACCTGAGGAATATTTCCTGAGATTTTTCTTTTTTTGGTCCTGTTTCAGTAAGTATGTTTCTAAAATTATTTGTATGTTAACTACTTAATCTACAAATAACACAGGGATGGGAAGATAGCTAATATACTACATTAACAGAATCAGGTTTCAATATGATCTTCGTTAGCTGAAATAATGAATCCCAATCACAAAGGCAAAATATAACAGAAATAAACTTTCAAAAGGTAAAGATGCCCAAGTTCCAGGACTTAGCTTACTAACAGCCACATACACACACCACACACACAATCTTATCATTATAAAAGGCTCAAATGAATGAGAGACAATCTAAGATCCCAAACACAAAAACCAACCTTGGAGACAAGCACAGTTGTAACCCAACACAGCTGTCATGGGGAGTACAGTGCCCTGTGGGTACTGAGAGCACCCCTGGGCAACTGATCACCCTCAAGCCACCTCCAGCAGCCAGCAGGACAAGAAATCCCTGGGCCTGTTTCACCCCAGCTGAGGGAGTCAGGATAATCCTCTGGCCTGCTCAGCCCTTAACTCATCTGTTTTCATCACTGCATCCTTAACACGCAGGCAGCACGCACTGCAGAAATCTGTACTCTACCTAAGCGGCTTTGCCATGTTCCAAAGTTCCTTCCAGCCCTCGACCCAGTCCAGCCCATCAGCTCCTGTGCCTCTCAACCCTTCCACTGGGTTCTTTACAACCGCTGCTTGCCACAGAAAGCCATGCTACATCCTTGGCCTCTGCTTTGAGCACGCTGAAGAGCTCCTCTTCTGCAACCCTCTCAGGTAGTAGCCGCTTAGCCTTGCACTTAAGTCAGCAGGTAACCCGAGTACCCTCTTTCTCTTGTGGTTCCCCCTTAGGGCCTGACTCCCCCACTCCCCACCCCTTAAACACCCACATGCCTTTTGGTCTCCCCCTCTCATCTGTATCATGGTCTAACCTCCCAACCCTTCCTACCATTCAGACACTGTCCTGGGTCACAGGCCCTCAAGCCCTTCAGCATCCCAAGCAACTTCCCATCTGAGTGGACGGCCCACACCTCCTTTCCTGCTCACCTGGGATAGCACCTCTTCCATGCCCTTTCATTCTCCCACAGCCCCTCACTGTCCCTCACCCACCGTTTTCTGCCTCCAACATCACATCACGAGTGTTCCCTTGGCTGACCCATTTCCT